GCTGTACAATTTTCGAAAAGGACATACAATTATTATTGAACAGGTTGGCATTATATAGGCTTTACACTGACTGACTTGAAACTTAAGAACACTTGACTGTGCCACCTAGTGATGGATTATTAAACTGCAGGTGCCATATTGTCAAACAGATGGTGTCTGATGCCATATCAGACATATAAACACATCTCTCAAAAACATATTGCTAACTCAGACTGACAAAAGTCTACAGTGAGTAAACCTTCAGAAAATAATAAAGCTTAAGAGAGGAGACTGACAAACAACTGTGTGAGATAAACGTAGAGAATTGTGTTGTGGTCTCACAGCATAGCTGTCAAAGAGCATATAATGCTAACAAACAGATATGCAGCATGACAAAAATGAAACTATACTTGAATAACTTAATATCAGACAGAATTGTAATACCCTGCTTACAGTAGATTACAGAAAAGCATTTGCTGTCATTTAAAAAGGCCCTATTATGCTTATTTGGGTTTTCCCTTTCCTTTAGTGTTTTATAGGTGTTTGTGCATGTTAATGGTCTGCAAAGGCTAAAATCACCAAGTTTAGCCAGAAGGAGTTAGGATTGTAGTCCTTTGTTTACTTCTGCAACATTGTGACATCACTACGTAACACACCTCTTGTATTGGCTAGTGCTCCACTACATTGTACATAATAGGCTAAGGGGCGGGACATCTCCAAGAGGTTAGCAATCACAACAGAGCCGGCCAGCTAACCAATCAGAGCAGACTGGGCTCTGGTTTCAGACAGAGGGTGAAAAGAGGTGCTTGCAGCACAGGCAGTATGAGAAAAATAAAGAGCTTTTTGAACATTAAAGCATGGAGACATGTCACAGTAGAGACATCAAATACAAATATGGAACCTGAAAATGAGCATTATAGGGCCCCTTCAGGTTAAAACAGGTAGGCCGGTTTCTTGATTCTCTAACTAAAGATAATTACAAAACTGTACTCACGTCTCATGTGTCCCAAAGAAGAAAATTGGGATTTTATTAGGAGGTGGTTTCACTGCCCCATCAGCCACGTCTTCAATCTGCAAACAAGCAAGTAAATACCAAGTGGCAAATAAAAACATTATAGAACTCATTCAAACATGGTGGCAGCATGTATTCATTTAGGTTGTGTCAGAAAAACATAACATTGCAGAGTGAAGCTAATTTAACTTTGTATGGATAAATATGTGGTGGTTTTATATTGAGTAAAGTGTTTTCTTATCTAGAATTATGAATCGTCATTTCCAAAATAACGTTAGCTTCGCAGCAGTGCATTCCCATGCAGATTAACGTTAGGCCACCAGTATCTCATGCAAATTGTGCTGCTAATGCACTGCATAGAGGCCTGAAACACAGCCTGTCAGCTCCACCACATATTAACTTGTGCATTTGTGGGATGGTTATACGTGTTAGACAGTGGATACACAGAGAGCCTTTGCATGCAGAGCAGCTCATCCCCTCCGCCCCTCCGGCTGTTGCTAGCGTTGCTTACCCTGGCTGGCCAGTGGGGGTACCCCTTCATTTTAGCGAAAACCAGGTCTCCGGGCTGGAAGCTGTGCGGCATTGTCCCACTCCTCGGTGCAGCCGGGATTTATAAAGTATTCGGCGGCGTAGCCTTTCTGTGTCTCTCTCGGTTTGCTGTTTTTTCAGGTCGACACGAAACCTGGAAACGATGGGGTTAGCTAGCTAAGCTAACAGTATACTAACGATACCGCGAGAAGAAGCGGCTCAGGGAAGATGGCAGTAACGTACCAAGCACTTCCGGTGAGATAATGTTCTCTGCCTTCAAAATAAAGGACCTTCTACTCAATGTAAAAACATTGTAATTAAATTGATCCAACAAATATTAACCCCAATCTTCATTTATCATACATTTCCAGCGTTAACATCATTATTAATATTATTACACTAATCCAATCCCCCAGTTTAACTTAAGTATTTCTGATTTATAATAAACTGCTTTTACTCTTTTGCACGTTATGAGTTAACAATTATTAACATTACCTGTATTTATAGTTAAATACTTTTTACAGTGTTTCTATAACTAATATTTATTGCACTTTTTATACCATGTCTTGTATCTTGTTCTGTAGATTACCTGTCTTTGTGTCTTCTCTTTATTGTTCATTATTTTGTTTTTCTGAACATGCAAACACAACTTGGTGCGCACTGTATATAGATTGATGACAATATAGCCCCTTATCTTATCTCTGTATATCACCAGAAACCATGTCACATGATGCAGGATCTTAATCTTCAAAAATAATTAAACAAGTATGTGCAACTATATTTGTTACCTACACGTATCTACAAATAATAAACAGGCTTTCATACGTATACTTCTTTATTGTCATATCCACAATCATTAGAGAGCAGTCAATGTCAATAATAGATCTCAGGCTCTCTCTCACAATACTCATACAATTAAGAAAGCGAAATCAAAATACAACTTAAATAAAGCAATATGAATTAGTGCTAGATAGCTGTGCCCATATTATCAAAATGTATTTTAAAGTTTTTCGGATTGATACATTAAATGTGTACATTTTTGAATAACAAAAAGGTTACATAAAGTTTCTGACTTTTATTCTACAAAGTCAATTCTCCTTCGTTGTCAAACCGGAAGTTCATCTTCCAACGTTCTCAGAAGCTTCACTAATCCGGATGAAGCAGGCTGATCGGCTCCACGCGATACGACAACCACGGCGGAAGTCCCGCCTCCCTCTCCTCGCTATTGGCTGACACTCGATCCGTTTCCTCTCCACCCAATGACAGATCCTAAAGTAGAGGGCTGCATTGACCTCCCCCCGGATTCACCTCTAATGCGAAGCCATGTTTCGGTCTTTGAGACGCGTACAGCAGTTTAACTGCAACCTCCTGGCTTTAAAAAGAGTCAGAGTCAACTCGAAACTGCTCATCTGCACGTCCAGAATGGCCGCCTCAGAGTACAGGATCGAGCGGGACTCTTTCGGTGAGTTAAAGGTCCCAGCTGACAAGTACTACGGAGCCCAGACTGTCAGATCCACTATGAACTTCAAAATTGGGGGACCCAGTGAGAGAATGCCGATCCAAGTGATCAAGGCCTTCGGTATCCTGAAGAGAGCAGCGGCTGAGGTGAACAAGGAGTTTGGCCTGGACCCTAAAATAGCAGATGCAATCATCCAGGCTGCAGATGAGGTGTCAGCTGGTAAACTGGATGATCATTTCCCTCTGGTGGTGTGGCAGACTGGATCAGGCACTCAGAGCAACATGAACGTAAATGAGGTGATCAGCAACAGGGCTATTGAGATCCTGGGAGGAAAACTAGGCTCCAAGGATCCCGTCCATCCTAATGACCACGTCAACAAGAGTCAGAGCTCCAATGACACTTTCCCCACCGCCATGCACATCGCTGCAGCCACAGAAGTCCACCACGTCCTGCTGCCCGGCCTGCAGGCGCTGCACGATGCTCTGGCTGCAAAGGCTGTAGACTTCAAAGACATCATCAAGATCGGACGCACACACACTCAGGATGCTGTGCCGCTGTCCCTCGGGCAGGAGTTCAGTGGGTATGTCCAACAGGTGAAGTACAGCATCGAGAGAGTGAAGTCTGCCATGCCCCGAGTGTACGAGCTGGCAGCAGGAGGCACAGCAGTGGGGACTGGACTCAACACCCGCATCGGCTTCGCTGAGAAAATCGCCTCCACCGTTTCCTCTCTCACAGGCCTGCCTTTTATCACCGCCCCCAACAAGTTTGAAGCTCTGGCGGCCCACGATGCCATGGTGGAGCTGAGTGGAGCTCTGAACACCGTGGCTGTCAGCTTGATGAAGATCGCCAACGACATCCGATTCCTGGGGTCAGGACCTCGCTCCGGGCTGGGAGAGCTCATCTTACCAGAGAACGAACCAGGAAGCAGCATCATGCCGGGCAAAGTGAACCCCACCCAGTGTGAGGCCATCACCATGGTGGCAGCCCAGGTCATGGGGAACAACGTGGCGGTCACCATCGGAGGCAGCAACGGACACTTCGAGCTCAACGTCTTCAAGCCCATGATCATCAAGAACGTGCTGAACTCAGCCAGACTTCTCGGAGATGCATCCGTGTCCTTCACCAACAACTGCGTGCTGGGCATCGAGCCAAACATCGAGAGGATCAACAAGCTCATGAACGAGTCCCTCATGTTGGTCACCGCTCTCAACGAACACATCGGGTACGACAAAGCGGCCACCATCGCCAAGACGGCGCACAAGAAGGGCTCCACGCTGAAGGCCGTGGCCGTGGAGCTGGGCTATCTGACCGAGGAGCAGTTTGACCAGTGGGTGAAGCCGAGTGACATGCTGGGGCCAAAGTGAACTGTGACAGCACAAGAAACACAAGACAAATGAAATACCTTTTCTAGTGTTGGAAAAGACTATCTACAAATAAATCAAAGAGACTGAAATGTATGAAGCAACATCTCTGAATCCTGAACATCTCATCTTTTTTTTTTTTAAATGTGAGAATGCTTTGCAGCTTCTTTCTCGGTTGACTAATGGTGATGGTTAATTTCACGGTCATACACTTGTAACAGTAAAGCCACCAATTTGATTGACGCATATTTAAAAGATGCTCCTTCACAAAAAAAAACACCTGTGTGTGAGAGAACATACCATTTTGATTGAAATTAGTTTTTTAAAAAAGTGTCATTTGTGTACCAACATTCTTGGTTTCGGTATTTGAAGTCTTAAATGAATTTGACTTATTAGTTGGTATCTTCATGGTTGTTCAGAAGTTCACTTTGCCATCCAAAATGATTCAACAGGGACCGCTGTGTGTTCTGGTTTACAGCACGTGTGCCATTTTTTTTTCCAATTTAATGATGTATTCATTAAAAAAGCAACTATATTCTGGTTTCTGGCTTTCCTCCTCATGATTTACAGTTTACACACGCATGCTACATGTATATCATAAGCTGATCTATGGGTTAAATCAACAGAATATATGCACTCAAAGACAGGGAAACACAATAGATATCAGTTTACTCAAATCCTTTATTGTATACACACGGAAGTAAAACATGAGAATTACTTGAGGCCAATTGAAGGACTTTTAATTGTAAATATATAAAATAAGCAAATAAATGTGATGACTTAAGTTCAATCAGTAAAAAATAAACAAAGAGACCGCTTGCTCCTCTTCTATTTGGTCCAGCTGACCTTGGGAATATCATAATGCTCAGTCAGGCAGTCCAGGTGCCGATTGAAGTCCTGCAAAAGAACAAAAACAATAGAATATATTTATTTGTGTTAACATTATTAAACTGTAATGCAATGAATAGGTCCACTGAATGGTGCTGTGACATGTTTGTCATGACTTACCTCCACTCTCAGTTTGTGAGTCTTTGATGCCTTGTTCAAAATCCTCTCCATTTGCTTTAGGGAAGATAGGAAAAAGTGAACGTTAGTCACTTCCGATGAGTCACTCTGTATACACCTCTACAACACATCTACCCAAACACACGAAACGTTAAGAACTGGTTAACGGCTATGTTTCTCTTTGACAGCATCATCTGTTTGCAATAAATGACATGCTAAAACTCCCCTAATACTGTGATAGAGCCATGTATTCCTGCTGTAGCTGAAAATACATTCACCACTTCAATCAATGAACTTTGACCTCTGGGTAGAGAGGGGCTGATAAACACTGCCAATCAACAGACCATGAAAGATCATTAACCTTACCTGAGCTCACAAAATCTATTTTTTTTTTTTAGAAGATTTCAGCTTGGATCAATCTGCTATGTTAAAATGTTAAATTTAAATACAGTTGGTGATGTAGCTCAATGGTATTTCCAATATAATAATAGCACATAAGTTAATAATTGACAACTCTCCTATGGATATTTTGGCATTACGGTTCCACTATAGCATTACTGGTTGTGATGCTAAGTGTGCAAAATTATCATCCTGTAGTAGAGTATGACAAATTAAAAATGCATTATTGTAAAAATACTATTTAAAAAGGGTTGTTCTGTGTGCATCCAACACAGTCTCACGGCATTTTGTGTTATAGTCACGAAATTAATCTATTGATTCGTGTTCACCAACACGATTTCGCCATTTTTTTACGATTTTAAAAGCAATGTAAATAATAACAAATTAGAAGGAAAAACAGATTTAAAAAAAATACAGATTTCAGTATTCTGACACAAAACGATTTTAGAAGCAATGTATTTCTATTGGTAGTATGTTTCGTGTCTGCTCCAAATAATAACAAATTAGAAGGAAAAGAATATTTAAAAAAAAACAGATTTCAGTATTCTGAGGCTCTGAGCCATTTATTTTCCTCGCGGACGGCAAAAAAAAAACTCAGACATTATACAATTTAAAATAAAAGGGATAGGGTTAGGCTTAGGGTAAGATATTGAGTAAGAACATGTTTTTATGAACCACACAGCTTCTGGTCTTCCAAGACCCGACCGGACAAAAAGACGTGTTGCAGGCACGAAACATACTACCAATAGAAATACATTGCTTTTAAAATCGTTCTGTGTGACACGAAAAAAAGGGGAAAATCGTGTTGGTGAACACGAATCAATAGATTAAATTAATTTCGTGACTATAACACAAAATGCCGTGAGACTGGGTTGGTGCATCTGATGATTGGTAACAAACGACATAAGGTACAGTCTTCCAGTAGAGCTTTTAGTTTACTTCTGCTAAATTATAATCATTAGCCAGGTCTCTGCCTCAAATCCTGACCCATTCGCTGCAGGTCTTTAATGCTGGAGAACGATAACTTACCCTCTTCTCCGCCATTTTGTCAAAGGACATTTGAGCCGGTGTTCTTTTGTCAACATATGTCTTCTTCTCCTCCTCCTCGTTTTGTTGGGCGGCCTGCTCTAAGAGACGCTTACTCTCTTTGGCCTTCTTCTTCTTCCTGTACAAAGATAGTAAAGCATGTTGATCAGAGGATTTCCAGACCAACCACTTTATTCAATAAGCAATGAAAAACATATTGTACAGAGTAGACACATGATAAAATGTAGGCAACTTACATTAGGGTGGTCCTTAAAATTGAAAGTGGGAAAGTCTAAGCTCCAAGCCCCGGAATTCATTCTATTAGTCAAGAAAACTCTCCTGGTGAATTTGTTCCTCAATCTGACAACATGTACCCCCCTCCCTCATCGGCCTTGAAGTGTAGCCTCAGTTGCAGCACCGTGGCTGCTGTGTGGCAGCCTAGGTCGATGAGGGAGGGGTATGTACCCCTGTCAGATTGAGGAACAAATTCACCAGGAGAGTTTTCTTGACTAATAGAATGAATTCTGGGGGTTCAAGGTTCAAGGTTCTTTATTGTCAAACTGACATAGCTACAGAGTAATCATGGAGTAATTATTGGAGCTTAGACTTTCCGACTTTCAATTTTAAGGACCACCCTACGTGAGGCTAAACTTCAAGGTCGATGAGGGAGGGGTAAATGTTGTTGGAATTTGAATAAAATTCACCAGGAGAGTTTTCTTGACTATCATAACGAATTCCGGTGGTTGGAGCTTAAAATAAATGAATTCGAAAATGTACATGGCACTAAGGACCACCCTAACTTACATAGATACTTTATTCATCCCAAATAGGGAAATTATTTGTGTTACAGCAGCACTGAAGTTAGTTCAGGCATTAAAATATGTAAAAGATGGAATAAAGTACAAACATAATAAAATAAAAACAGCAATTATAAACATTATCTACAGTAGAAAAAGTCTTATCCCAAATAATACACATTTATAAAATATTCTGGATAAATGAAAATCTAATCTTTCTATAAAAGACCAAATACTGCAGTAACAGAAATATAGACTTATAATACAGGAGCAGAAAAGGATAGTATAACAATTACAGATGTACATTGCTTTCAATATGACCTTATATGTCAGTGTGGGAGTATTTCAAAAAGCCTTGTGAATGTGTCACAAGGATTGAAATATATAAATATACATACAAATGACTCTGAACTGTTGAAGCTGTTTTAACGTGCCGTGTTACCTACAATTAAATCATGGATGTAATGTTTTTAGCCAGAGATGTACCACTCCATAATGTCACCGTAAACTTTAATGAGGTCCCAGTTGAGGCTAGTTTGGTTTTCCACTGTACGACGCTATTTGACAAGTCCTTTCCCCATGTATTACTGTATCGTTTACACATCCTAAACGTACATGTTTACGTGACAACTGTTTTGTTCTGTTAGCATACATGCTAACCTTAGCCTCGCCTGAATATCAGACTGTTTTCGCAGTTCCAACTGTTTATGTAAGGGTTTTTATCAAATTAAAAAGGCTCGTCTCTTACAGAAACATGTCACAAATGGAACAACACTTACCTTTTTCCAGCTGAAATGGACCCAAGGCCTTTTAAATTCAGGGCACTCTTCTGAGATGCTGCGTACTCAGACATTTTCGAGAAGCTCCTCCCACGTCTTCTTCTACGATGTTATTATAGTAATCGACGCACTGCCTCATTACTACCACCCGGCGGAGTGAGGCGGTATTACACACATGCTGGTCTGTCTCATGTCATCCCCCAAAACAGGACACCTGTGATGATACACTTGTTGAAACTTGTCAGAGGAATTGAAAGTACATTAGTTATATGTGTTGTCCCCAAACAGCATTGGCTAAAATATGCACACCGCCTTTGTGCCCCCTTGTGGTTCAAGTTTAAGAAGGCGAGCCTCTAGAAGCTCCAGGTTGCTTATGATGATTGTTTGCGTATACTGCTTAGAAAACCAAGGTGGTGCAGTGCAACTGCAAGTGAAATGTTTTGTAATGCACGAGTCAACACGTTCCTTGCTCTCTTGAGAAATCTGATGTACAAATGTATCTGTCGATTGAATGTTTCTCATAATTTTGTCATTATGCTGCTGTCAAATCCTTGTCTCAGTAACAGTACCATAGTTATATTACGTTAATTATAAATCAATTATAGAAATATACAATATATACTAATGTAAATTATTCTTTTAGGTTATTTTAGTCATCTATTTGAATCGTATTGCTCAATTGTATTGCCTAGTTTATCGAATAATTTTATAATGGATATTTTAGATTTTTTTATATTAATGACTTTAATACTAGAGTTGTTGTATGTGATTAATATTGTTGAAGGTCCCATGTCATGGCCATTTCTACTGATCATATTTCCATTGTTGAGGTCTACTAGAATATATTTAAATTGTGCAATGTTCCAAAATCACATTGGTTTCTCATACAGCATCTCTGTATAGTATGTGTATTCACCAGGTATTCACTTTCTGTCTTAAACGGCTTGTTGGAGCTCCTGGTGTGTGAGGTGCTCCGCGGATTGGTCCATTTGGGCCAATCCGGTCATTTGTTGTTGATTTGGGTATTCACACGTCACAGAACCCAGGAAGAAAACAATGGAAAATGAGGAATCTCCTACGAGGCGTTCTGGGGCAGCATAGACAGGTCTTTTCTGTGTTAGAGTTTTACTCGCTACAGGGTGTACTTTGAGGGTTTTTGACTCTGCAGACCGTTTACATGCATAAAAACCTTCATAACACACAAGGGGATGGGTAATAACCAGAAAAGCATGACATGGGACCTTTAATACTATTACTATTACTTTAGACCTGTACACATATACGTGTTACAAATGTTGGATTATGAGTCATTGGATAGCTCAGTGGTTAAATCTGGTGTCCCAAATGCGGTATCTGCGCTTCATATGTGGATTTATTCTGCAAACAAAATTGTACAAAATTGCTCCAAAGATCCATTCAGTCATGTACAAAATAAATGTAAAAAGCAAACAAAAACACATTGCAGTTGCTTTTCTGTTCACTGGTTTAATAAAGAATAAGGCTTGAAGCTACACTGACTGAACATATTAATTTAATTTATTTAGAGTATTTTTTGCAGTTTTGCATGCAAATATAAATGTGTTTTGTTTATTTAAAAATATTACAAAATATCTTCTGCACATTTATTCTCTTATTTCTCTTTATGCATTTACTTTTGTATACTTTGTAACCGTTTGTTTTTGTGAATTCATTTTGGTAGTACTCACACACATAGATAAATGTGGAAATATATACATGAATACATAAATGCAAATATATGGGAATTGAATAAATACAAAAATTAAAGAAGATAATTAAACAAAACACACATTATATATATTTTTTAATGTATTTCTACATTACGTTCACTTACATGTATTTATGTATGTATGTGTTTCTGTGCTGTCAGGTTACAGGAGTGTCAATGAGTGACTGATGTTAAAAAACCCACAGAATGCTTACATCAAGGTTTCAGAAAAATTATGTGAAAAATAATAACAGACAGATGCTAAATCCTATTGGAAATGACAATAAAACATAAATCAAACTATAATACAGAGATACTAAGAACAGAGACCACTGATACATTGAACAATTGAAACGATTGATCAAATAAATTGTTTTGTGTGGAATTAAATCAGTGTTAAAACTGAAGAATTGTACAACCTAATATGTATATTTGAGATAAATAAACCCATTTGTTCTTCAGGGCAGTATATGTCAAAGTATGACACTTAATTTGGCTTCAGATGCATTCAAAAAATGTATATCTCAGATTTCCCATTAAATAATCATGTTTATTTTGATTTTCCTCCATTTACATTATTCACATACGTTCATAGACTGTATATAGGGTACTAATTAATACAATAAAATAAAAATAATTCACTCACATTTCCATTTATTTCTTTAAGCTTGAAAAACAGTTGAAATTAAGGATCAAATAAATTGTTTTTTTGTGAAATTAAAACAGTGAATATATAAGAAACGCTTTAAAAATAAACCCATTTGTTCTTTTAGGCAATATACTTCCACATATGACATCTAGTTTGGCATCAGATGCATTAAAAAACGGTGATATTCCTGATTTTCCATAAAATAAACCATGTTGATTGTGATTTTTCGTCCATTCACATCATTCACCTACGCCGCATCATCGCTCTTCCCTGGGCGTGTATTAAGCAAACGCGTGGTCTTCTCCTATTGGCCACGGCATTAATCCGTCAAGATTCCCCTTCCTCTGATTGGCCGAAAACAGCAGCGCTTCCTCATTGAGGTTCGGAGCCGGCGGCCAATCAGATTCAGACATCTGTTCTGAGCCGAGAGGAGAGCCTCAGCCTTTTTCACATTACTGAGAGACTGCGCCGAATAACAACGCCTGCTGCTCGGTTATTTAGACTTATTTGTGATTAAATTAGTGTTTCTTATTCCTCAGGGTGCTTTAACTCTGCACAATGACCGCCCTGTCGCTGCTTTTGATGGCGGTGTCGGCCGTATCTGCACTGGCCGACTCCAATATATATATGCGAGAGCAATTTGAAGATGGGGGTAAGATCCTTTTATTCAATATATTAGTCCAAACTACATCATTTATTCTTATGTGTTTCATTCAATATAACAATACTGTATCAGTGCATGAATGGTGGTGGCTATATTCATATTTGGTGGTTAGATTTTTTTTGCATGACAGGTCATAAATCAGCATTTCTGTTTAATGTTCTGCTTCAGTTTGATATGCATTAGGTGTCCACGGGCTTCATTCATCTTTTGACCCCCTATCTCCTCCCTTCCTGTCTGTCCTCTCTCTCAATTTTACCCCCCAGCTATTATCAGTCTGACTCCCCATCCCCCCCTCCCCCCTGCACGTCTCTCCCCTGGTCCTCCTCAGTCACCCTTCTTTACCCAAAGCTGTCTTTTATCACCTTTTTCCTTATAGAAAACACAGGCAGTGATTTGTCCTTGCACCACATCCACATCTGCACCTGCTCCCATGCATCACCAGAGGTGGATGTGAAGCCTGTGAGTGTTTCCTTGCAGCTGAACCTAATTTTATTTTATATTTTCCTCCTGCAGATGCCTGGAATAGTCGCTGGGTTGAATCCAAACACAAGACCGACTACGGCCAGTTTGTCCTGACTGCAGGGAAGTTCTACGGAGATGCCGAGCAAGACAAAGGTAAAGGGGGGGGGGGGGGGGGGGGGGGAGAGGTTAGGTTTAATCCACCCTCTGTGGATTTGTGCAAGGTGGTTAACTCCCACATTGTTTTGAAAGAAGGGTGTGTATCCCCTGTTTATCCAATGGGCTTTAGTGGGAGTTTTGTTTGAGCCTGAGCTATATAAGTAAATAAAGGTTTTGATGAGGGCCATTACTTTAAATGTTTTACTTGCTTATTTTATGAGCCAAAGTACTGAGGCATTATATATTCTTTAATAGAAGTCATATGGTTTTATCCAAACAAGTTTTTTAAATTAAGTCCAAGTGTATGCGATTTTATCTCCCTGGACGGAGATTGGAGATATATAATTACTAGAGGCATTAGGGGTCAAACTTGTTAATTTGCATTACTTATTTATTTTACGAGGTGTAGAAGTACTCAGATCGTGTATTTGAGTAAAAGTAGAAGTACTCAGGTCTTGTACTTGAGTAAAAGTAGAAGTATCAGAGTGTAGTAATACTCTGTTACAGTAAAAGTCCTGCAATCAAAATGTTACTCAAGTAAAAGTAGAAAAGTATTATCATCAGAATATACTTTAAGTACCAAAAGTAAAAGTACTCATTGTGCAGATTGGTCCATTTCAGAATAATATATATGATATGTTTTATAATGATTGATCATTAAAGTGTTCTCAAAGCTGGTAAAGGTGCAGCTAGTTTGAATGACTTTGTATACTGCAGGGTAGCTTGTGGATTTACTCCAGGTGGAACTAAAGTCTGATTTAAGAGTTGAATATATTTCACATCATTCATCCAAATCTGTAAAGTAATTTAAGGTATTAAATAAATGTAGTGGAGTAGAAGTACAAAGTAGCCTAACATGGAAATACTCAAGTAAAGTACCTCAAAATTGTACTAAAGAACAGTACTTGAGTAAATATACTTCGTTACTTCCCACCTCTGGGTATTTTTCGAGGTTCCCAGAAATTAATCATGAGTGTAAATGTTGACATCCCTAATTATTAGTGTTGTTATTATTATTACTAATATTCTTATTCTTATTCTTACTATTCTTATAATTTCATTATATGTATTATTATTAAATGTATTGGTTTTCGATTATTATTTATTTAATAACGTATATTATAATGATTTTTATAAATGTATTATTATAACAAAAAAATACATCCACAATTTTCTTCTCTTATCTTCTTTCAAATGTCGTATAAACTATATGGATTCAGCTGGGGAAAAAGTGCAGACATGTTTGTGAAATTAGCTCAAGTACACACATTTTAAAACAATCTGACCTGACGGTGTTTTATTTAAATTAAAATAACCCTTGTGTTTTCTCCGCAGGTCTGCAGACGAGTCAGGACGCTCGCTTCTACGCCTCCTCGTCCCGTTTTGATGACTTCAGCAATAAAGGCGAGCCCCTGGTGATCCAGTTCAGCGTGAAGCACGAGCAGAGCATCGACTGTGGGGGGGGCTACATCAAGCTGTTCCCCTCCAGCCTCAACCAGGAGGAGATGCACGGAGACTCCGTCTACAACCTCATGTTCGGTCAGTGAGGACAAATGCATCTCCTTAATTACTACACTGATAACAGTACAAGTAATCTGTGGATTTCCCCATTTCTAAAAAAACCTATTATGGCATTTCCCCCTATTTTTCCGTTTATCTTGTATGTATTTTCCATATTTGTAAAGCACTTTGTGTGTTTCTTTCAATATGTCTGATTCTTTATTATAATTTAAATCCAAACCACATTATAATACATATTACATATATAAACATTTGTAAATAGTTAAACAATTTCTTCAGTACCAGAGGCATGATGAAGTGCATTACAAGAAGGATTTGTAAAAACTCAAATGTATTTATTTGTTTGTTATCTTGTTCAGGTCCGGACATTTGCGGCCCCGGCACAAAGAAGGTTCACGTCATCTTCAACTACCAAGGCAAAAACCATCTGATCAACAAGGACATCAGGTGCAAGGTGAGGAATCCATTATTGTTCTTATATTAACTTGGGACATGTCAAACGTGTTTTCTAATCAGGTTTACAGATATAGGGAATTTGCTTTGATGTAAACAATGCATGTATTAGACAGTAAGGCAGTGGGGAGGGTGTGTGGGAGAGAAACTCCCTCTGGAGGGAACACAGGGATCTTAGCCTTTGCAGACCATTTACGTGTACAGAAACCTATAACACACACTACAGGAAAGGGAACACCACAGAAAGCAGAATAGAGCCTCTTTAAGATTTCCTTTATTCCCTGCAGGATGATGAGTACTCCCACCTGTACACGCTGATCTTGAACCCCGACAACACGTACGAGGTGAAGATCGACAACAAGAAGGTGGAGTCTGGCAGTCTGGAGGAGGACTGGGACGTCCTGCCGCCCAAAAAAGTGAAAGACCCCGAAGCCAAGAAGCCGGAGGACTGGGATGACCAGGAGAAGGTCCCCGACCCGGAAGATCAGAAACCAGAGGTCGGTACACTTCAAAAACATTTTTTTTCTCTCTATCATTCAGGGAGGCATTTTTTTAAACAGTACACGTTTATATTTGGCTTGATAGACTATATTCACCTAATTTTAATGTAGGGAACGACAATATATATTGGGGTCCTGAAGTAATGGGCCATTGTATAGGAAATGTTGTTTAAATTCTTGTCTTCTTTCATTGACTTTGTCAGGATTGGGACAAGGCAGAGAACATTCCCGACCCCGACGCTAAGAAGCCCGAAGACTGGGACGAAGAGATGGACGGAGAGTGGGAGCCGCCCATGGTCGCTAACCCTGAATACAAGGTAACAGAAAAAAACTTAAAAGCCACTAACCGCTAAGCTAAAGGCGGCTAATGTTGGGCTATAAAGGAACTACAGCACGGTCACATGACTTCACGTCACCACCGCTAAGCTAATGTTGGGCTATAAATAGGGATGCTCCGATCGCCAATTTTGGGGCCGATCGCCGGAATCAGTATCGACCGATACCGATCGCCGATCGAGTGGGCGGGGCCTATGGGGATCTTCCATTTAAAGTGATGTTTAAAACTCAGTTAATGGGGCTCATTCACTGGCGCTTCCACAAACAACAGCCAACATAATTATTACATTAAAATGAAGTACATTATTCAAGTTTACATTAACTTTGGATAATAACACGGGAGAAATGAGTGGAAGCGCTCTCTTTTCCTCTCCCCCCCTCTCTCTCTCTCTCCTGACAGCCTGTCAGTATCTCATGCAGCTCACTGATCCAGTAATGAGTGACCCGATAGTGAAGAATAAATATATTTAGAACTAGTTTAGCTTGTTCCAGAGGTAGATAAAATAGCTAAGTGTGTTAGGTCTAACTCTGTTTTGCTCCGCTCACCGGTCCGTCACAGCAGGTGGAGCTGCAGGATTTCTGCTTCACACACGTTGCACACCGCTATTTTACTGAGAAAAGTGTCATGTATTTTACGTCATCATTTTACGTCATGCTCTCGCGTTCGGCATTTTTAGAGAGCACCGATCGATCGGCGGCCGATCAATCGGAGCATCACTAGCTATAAAGGAACTACAGCACGGTCACATGACTTCCCGTCACCACAGCTAAGCTAAAGGTGGCTAATGTTGGGCTATAAAGGAACTACAGCACGGTCACATGACTTCCCGTCACCACCGCTAAGCTAAAGGCGGCTAATGTTGGGCTATAAAGGAACTACAGCACAGTCACATGACTTCACGTCACCACCACTAAGCTAAAAGTGGCTAATGTTGGGCTATAAAGGAACTACAGCACAGTCACATGACTTCACGTCACCACCACTAAGCTAAAAGTGGCTAATGTTGGGCGTGATGACGTTTAGTCGCCTCATTTAGAGACTAACATATTTTCTGTTGGAGAACAAAACGTTTACATTCCCCTCTCTGTCTGGTGTTCACAGGGAGAGTGGAACCCCAAAGAGATCACTAACCCGGCCTACAAGGGCAAGTGGGTCCACCCTGAGGTCGACAACCCGGAGTACACCGCTGATTCTGAGATCTATAAGTATGACAGCATCGGCGTGATCGGACTCGACTTGTGGCAGGTGAGAAGAAACTGCAGCTGATCGTCTTATTATTGAGAAATTTCATTTATTATTATTATGAAGTTCCTAACAGTAAATGTTGATTTCTTGTTGACGCAGGTGAAGTCCGGCACCATCTTTGATAACTTCCTGATCACCAACGACCCAAAGCTGGCAGAGGAAGTGGGAAACGACATGTGGGGTAAAACTAAGGTCAGTGCAGAGTTTTATTTGACTGCATGTATCTCGCTCATGCATTTGTCTATTGAGTAGTTTGTAATTTTTCTAGTGTAACAAAAGAAAAAGAAGGGATTAAACTAAATAAATGTACTTTATTATAGAGTGGTTATATTTTAATGACCATTCAAACACAGAATCATCAATTATACGTTATTTTATTTATTCACATGTGAATCCTCTGCAGGACGCGGAGAAGAAGATGAAGGAAAGCCTAGAGGAGGAGGAGAGGAAGAAGCGCGAGGAAGACGACAATCAGAGGGACGAGGCGAGGGAGAAAGACGAGGAGGAAGAGGAGAAGGATGAGGAGGAGGAAGGAGACGAAGAAGAAGATGATGAGGAGGGAGATGAAGAAGAGCGGGAGGAGGAAGAAGAGGACGATGAAGACACAGACTCTAAACTCAAGGATGAGTTATAAACTCCAACGCAGGAAGTGACTCTGTCAATGAGCCGTAGAGTGGTGCAGGAATGAGTCAGCAGAACCTGGAAATGAGTCAGCATTTTAGCACTTCCTGTCCCCTCGTCTGGAAGTCGATGGTTTTTAGATTTTTGGTTGTTAGCCTGAAATAAGGTCTGTGGTCAACACAAGCTGAAGAGATTTTTACGTTTTGTTCTACGACATAAAATACGTCAGTTAATACCCCACTGGTGCATTTAAAAACAGCGGTTGCTAACAAGTGTATAAATGAGACGACTAAACGTCATCACGCTCAACATTAGCCACCTTTAGCTTAGCGGTGGTGGTGGTGTGACGTCATGTGACCGTGCTGTAGTTCCTTTATAGCCCAACATTAGCTTTTTACTTCAGAAATCATAAGTGGTGTTAAAATGTGGAGATTATTCTGCTGAACAAAACGTGTAAGTATCGTTAACGTTTGTTTGACACGGAGTTTATTTTTGCAATAATCCAAAATCACATGGAGTAATTCCATTGACTTTTTAGCTGAGGGAATCAGGGAGATGCTGCCTTCATGGTCCCGAACAGAAATATGACATCCCTGCACCACTCTATAGGAAGGAGATGATCGACCCTCATGACTGACACCCTGGGGTGGGAGGGTTTTTTTTCATTTGTTTGTTTACAAAATAAGGAAGAAGATGAAAAAAAGGGCAATTATTGTTCTGGTTCCATGTGCTACTACTACTATAATTATTATAAAACGAGGAATAGTGATAGAAATAATTTTAAAAAATCTTAAAGAACAGGAATTCAATCGGTTTACACCCAAACAAAAAGATATAAATTGTCATTCATGGAAAAACACTAAGGTTTTTATGAAGTATAATGAAAGACTGTATTTGGTATGTGGATAATACCATGGTTTTGTTTACCTCATTTGTATGTCTTAATAATATGTGTTTTATTTTGTTGCTTTTTTTGCTGCCTGTCATGTAACTACCCCTTTAAAACCTGTCAATCTCAAAGGACATTAATAGATGTCAATATGCGGGTTATTTTACCTGCTTTTATTTACAATTCTGGATTAAAACAAGGAATATGATGCAAGATATTTGACAACCTGTTGAAAAAAAGTCAATCGGATGGTTAATCGGGGTAAAATGAAATCCCTTGCATAGTTTTGTACTGTATAGCTTTTGGACTTCAATGCACATACTGTAGTCTTGTGTGTTTAATTAAACTGTGCTGAATCTCAGACGTACATTGAGAGCACTCCAGTAGCAGGTTAGCTTTCATTCACTTTGTTTTTTCTCATAATACGTATACACAGAGTTTATTATTGATATCTCTGCACTGCTGTTCCCCGACACATGACCCCCCCGTCTGAGAGGATCCTTTTGTAAACACACATTTTGTACTAATGCTAGTAAAAGTGGAAGTGGGAAGATTTTCATGTTGCTGTGTAAAAAAGCAAAAACAAAGACAGGTGTTCTGCTCAATAAAACCAACCAGTGGAAAATATCAGAAGGCTTTGTGTATTTTCTTTTTCAATTTAAAATAGCTTTTTATTTTATCTACTTTTTGTAGTGGAATGTAACAAAGTATATTCCCTTGTTACATTTTTTTGTGTGTATACATAAAACCTGTTCTCCATGAACTTTTAGGTAGTTATTACTATTAATAATAATAATAATTGTAATACATATTTTAATAGTGTAAGTATTATTGTTATGATTATAATTACCATTCTTAATCATGTTTAATTCTTTTCCATCCATATTTTAACCCATAAGGACCCACCGGGTGTCACATGAACTTTCAATGTTCTGAAAAGTTCCTCATTCAGCTTTAGCCTTGTTTTTATCTCATGAAGTCCCTCAGTGACACACACTGAACAGTCTGGTGGGTCATGGTCCAGGTCATGTGATTTTGTGTTCCCATAACATGTCCAAGATGTCCATGTGCCAGGCTAACACATGTGACAGAACTAGCTACATTTCAAAAGCTTTTTTGTTTGTTGCTAAAGGGAAAATTCAAGCCATTTAAGAATTAAAATGTTTACATAACATGTCCTTTATTACATTTAACCTGTTGTGGAAACATTTCTTGATCAAATTGATATGAAACAAATGAGACAAACATCGCTGTGACACTGATCGGGACTTTAACCCTAAACTTTCACAGTAAACTCAAAGTGACATATATGCACAATTAGAAATATGATTATGATCTGCTCAGTTAATTTAGCTGATTCAATTATATTGAGTTGATATGTTCTTATTCTTCAATTCAAAGAATGTTCAAACTAATTTAAACCAAAAAATCATCCTCGTTAATGAAGTTATATATAAGAGTTATTTTACCATTAAAGCCCAATGTGACATATATATATCACATTTCAGATATGTGACACTAGGGTGGGTTACTTGTCAGAAATGTGTTCTAGGTGGTCTATTTAGTCTAAACTATGTTCCCCTTAATTTTCCCAAAAGTAGAAATGGGTCCGGGTTCTTATATTATTAATATTCATACTAATATCATTGTTAATAATATTCAATATAATTAACAGCTGTTTCTCATCTCTGTTTGAGCGTTACTTGTAGTTTTATAAACTTGGGATAAAGAGAGTTTTTGGTTCATCTTGAGCAGAATTATCTCAAATCTAAAGAGGCATCTTCAGGTTTTTCAGTTAAACTCTGCTCTCTCTAACACGAGGCGCTGCCGGGATTTCAACCCAGGACCTCTTGTTTACTAGACAGGCACTTTGACCCACTAAGCCACAGCACATGTTTAATATAATGTTTTGCAATCGTTTTTTTATTTCAGGATTCAACCTGTATATTACATTTTTTGTGTATTGGTTTTGGTTGGATTCTTTTGTATTCTTACGTCATTTGCTGTCCTCAATACAGGTTGGACCCTGATTAACATTTGAAGAGGAACAGACATTATCTCCCTCTTTAAGCTAAAACTGAGTTTTAAAACAGTATCTTACAAATAGACACTGCTGGGTTTTGAAACAACAATCACCTATTAACTAGACACTAGCTCTTTGACAGTCTGTGGAAACATAAATTATGGTTTAAAGACATTTGTGTCCATAAGGGTCTGAGTGTTTATATATTGGATACACAGTTTGTTATGGACTTCATGTGGGAGCTGAGGATGACATTTCAAACATAAAATAAGCACTAACAACATCACCAAGATGTCTGCAACATGCATGAACACAGCCAACGTTATCCAAACCTATACATAATACAAACACCAAAGTGTTGAGGCCAAAGTCTTAAATGATGCTTTATTGTGTCTTCTTAACGATGCAAGAGATAATATTTCATCTTATTTTAATATTTCTAAGAGCTCTGCTGCCATCTTGTGGTCTGCAGGTAACAGATCACTTTGAGGAACATGTTCTCTTTAAAGCATGTTATAAATACATTTGGAGTCTTTTAGACAATAATGCCACAAGTAAACACTATTTTTTTACTTTAATTGTTACACTTTTTTGGCTGATAATTCTTCAGTTTGAGGATATTTTGACAACAGAGAACATTTAATGCACAGTTTAACTTTAAATATAATATTATGAGGTATGTTGGTCATTAGCAGTACTTTGTGTGTGTGTTTCAACACTTGATCAGGTAACTTCAAGACATACAAAGCAGCTAAAAATACCTCTTTATTACTCTTATTAAATTATTTATTGTTTTATCTCAATATCTGCCTGAACTTAAAAAGCTGGAGGAAAACAGAATTTGTATAACGCAACTAATTCCCTCACCTTTGTCTATATTTCAGTCTTTTTAAACAGTTGTTGAATTCATTTGAACCTTTGAAAATAACAAAAGACAAAATAAACACTTTAGCGCCAGAACTTTACATTTCCATGCTTACTTAAATTCTTATCGCTTCGAAATAAACAGTTAACGATTTAGTCAAATGGGTGCACCAGAAGCCTTTAATGCCTCACAAAAACGATATAGAATATAAAATGAAAATACTCAAAATAATAAATAATTATCCATCTATCTATTGATGTAATTGTTATATTTAATTATTATCTGTTATATTGAGAAAGATCCATTTTTATAAAAATAAGATTCTTGGATTTCTGCAAAAATAACATGGTTCTGCCGTTGCCTAGCAACCAACAGGCAGGCCTCGTTTGGGGGCGGAGCCTAGCGAACGTTCTTTGGTTCTTTGGCTCTGATCTCTGACGTCAGTTCTGGAATGGCTTTGAAGGTGTACATGACGTCACAACAGAGTTTGCAAATAGACCCTGGTTCCTCTGCAGTTCACTTCTTCTCAATTTACTGAGAGGGCCATACGTATTTCTACCCAGCAGACAATTTTACAGACAGCATCCACAGATAATCCAGCATTACAGCATTAATTAATAATATTATTAATTTGTTAGTTATTAGCATTATTAATTAAGCAGCAGACCATTTTACAGACAGAATCCACAGATAATCCATATCATTAATTAATAACATCATTAATTTGTTAGTTATTAACACATTTTAAATAATTACTATGTCTAGAGCAGAAAGTTCTCCGTCAGTGAGGATGTCAGACATCGCAGTGGACGACATTCGTCCATTGTTTGTTCACTTTTGCAAACAGATGAGTGAGGAGCGGTGGGATTTGCTGGATCAAGGATCATCCGACGATGCCGTAAAAATGATTGTGGCAGAGCTGATTTTGAAGTGTGTCAATTTGCTGACAGAAGCCTTCCTAGCTATTTTTAAGGTCACAAAAATGGAAGTTTCTGAGGAGTGTGTTCGGTCCTGTGTGGGCAACATACTCCCTCAGACTTTGGCTGATGTCCTGGATGTGAAAGTCCCTGACGACTGCGACAGCGCAAAAAGCTTGACCGAAATGATTGTCCAGGAGGTTATGGAAAGCGCCAACTCTGTACTCAATTCCAGTTCCAGTGCGGATAATTCGGAGCAAGTATATAGGCGTCTCACTCCCCCCAACAGACTTGGTGTTATGGTCCGTCATGCCTGCGACATGTTGAAAGACTTCCTGGCTAAGATGAAAGGCGTTTTCCGATTCCCAGAAAGAACAGAAAGCCAGGAGCCCTTGATTGAGGTGACCGATAGCGGTTTAGAGGAGGTAGTTACCAGCAACAAGAGCTGTCAGACCTCAGACAAAGGCTCAATCCAATCCGCAGGGCATGGATCTGTTCAGTCCAGAGCTTCAGTTACTAGACCTGTTCAGTCCAGAGCTTCAGTTAATAGATCTGTTCAGTCCAGAGCTTCAGTTACTAGATCCGTTCAGTCCAGAGCTTCAGTTATTGAATCTGTTCAGTCCAAAGCTTTAAGCAGCAGATCTGTTCTGTCCATAAACTTAGGCCTCTCAACAGGGCCAGAAGGAAGCTTTGCGATTGAAACCGAAGCTGTCCAGAATATCATTATAAACGAGTTCTGTGGAATAGAAGAACCTCTTCTAGATAATATGAAAGACATAGAGATTGAGGTTCTTAAATCTAACACCTCCGAGTGTATCAATAGTATTTCAGGAGACATAGTAAGGTCCATCATTCAAGAGGTTAATAGCCTGGAGGTTAGAGATTCTGAAAGTCCCATTTTAGATCCCGAAGATATGCCCAAATTGTGCTTGATAGGAGTTGGCACAAAGATCAAACACTTTTTTGCCAAACAGTTTGCCAAACTGTCAATTCATCGGATGGCGGCAGACATGAAGGAACAATTCTGCCCTGAATCCCACGTTGAGACAGTGGAGTCGATGAGGTCCTTCGCTGAGGAGGTAGAGGAGCTGCTGAGGAACGAGTCTGAGGAACAAAAAGACAATGAGGTCGAGGTGTATTTAGGACTACAAAACCTTTTAGAGGGAAAAAGCCTGATGTTCCATAACATGCTAAGTGATCTCCTCTTCAATAACACCACAAAGGGGATGATAGAACCAGAGATTGCCCCAGGGGTAAGAAGAATATTTGTTGCCCCTCCACGTGAAGCCATGCTGCAAGAAATTAGAGCTAAACTGAAGCAATTCTTTGGACTGTTCGGGTGGTGGATGATCCACCAGGCTGGCAGCCACAGCGACAGGGTGGAGAAGGCGTTGAATGCACCTGACACTGTGTCTGTTGGTGTCCGTAACTCTGCGTACCCAAGTGCAGAATTGGGGATGGAAACATCTTTAGAGGCAGAGAGAATCAAAATGTCGGTCAAGGTACTTGTGATGAAGCTGGTTTCACAGATTTATAACAAATCAAAGGAGAACAGCTCACTTGGAGATCCAAAGGCCGTCGCAGAGAACCTCTTTGAGAGAGTATGGGCCAAAGTGGAGGGAGAAGATTTCAAAATCACCCCAGAAACCTTCAAGAATATAGACAAGGTCGTTTACAAAGAACTGTGCAAGCAGTGGGACGAAGCGGCGAGGGTGCCGGTTATAGTGAATAAAGGAGAACAATTAGCGGATGATGTAGTGGCCTCCATCTTCAAATACCACCTGACGAACCAACCAAAGAGAGGCGTCGTCTGCAGGTTCTT